GGCAACTCTTAGCAAGGTTAGTGCTATACTAACCGGTGTTGTGAGCTTATTTGCAACGGATATTAATTAACAATACACAAAATATTATTATTACACGATAACACGCACTGATGATGTACTCTATTCTAGTTCTATTTAGGTTAAATATTAAAAAACATGATTGTTTTAAGTTTTTTATTTAAACTTTGCTTATAAATATAGTACATATTTTTAATAATATAAGTTGTACATATAATAGTAATGAATAGAGAGTTTCATTTCACTAAAATAAAACTGTTAAAATATTTATAAAACGATGCATGTATGACAATATTGATGACTGTTGATGAAGCTAAAGAGGTATGTAGGTCCCCCATGGGAGACAGGCGTGAAGTTATGTATGTATGTATGTATAAAACGCTCTTATTATTATTTACTTATGAAATTATAAGTATTTTAAAGTATAAAAATAGTGCGAGATCAAATTATAATGTAAGTGCTAATAATTCTATGGCTGATATACATAAAAAGGTAAATTACTATATAGCGCAATAAACGCATAAAGCGTTTATTTTGGTAGGTACTTAATATTTACAAATTGATATTTTTATACAGCCTTTATTTTACATATTTTATATATATGTCCTAGTCACCACTGTCTTCGATACACAATTTAACTTTGTCGCTCTTGATATTTTTCACTCGATTCTTGAAGAGGAAGGCGTTCGTGATGGAACGCATACGCGCTGATCCGATTGACCCATCGAAGCTAGATTGGGTTAAGAAACTTCGGCGAGTTGCTTCTGTGAAAAGAGATAGAAGTACATCTTCAGTAAATTATTATGTTTTCGGCTTACTCACGTAGTAATTTGACGAGGAACTCGACTACTCGCGGGTGTTCGGTATATGGCAATAGGCTCACCCCTTATTACATGGGACTCATAACATAAATAGTGAAAAGTGGGTGTTACATTGTACAGTGGCAATAAATGCCGCAATGTGCACCTCTGGCTACCTCTTCGGGGGTAAAAGGAGTGATGTTATGTATGTATGTAAGTATGTATCTGTTCGAATTTTCTTAGTAAAAATACACATGAACAAGCAATACCCTTCTCGACCGACTCATGTATTAGATAGTGAGTCTTTTCCTAAAGAGGGAGGGAGTGTCAGACTCTTATTGACTAAAAGAGCCAAGCCGCGGTAATACGTTTAGTCTTTCGTAGCTTTGGTCTGTGAAGAATGAGCTTTAATAGCATCATATCAAAGTTGGAAATTGTAAGATTAGATTGAAATTTAAGAAATGACCTTTTTTAAGAAAAGATACAAAAGTATGATATTGATTCGAATGGTACCTTCAACGGGAGTCTTACTCGTCGACTGTCTATGTCCATCTGGCGAGTTGGTCGAACTGCTTGATGAAGTTATAGGATTGATTGATATTCGAGGGCTCACACGTCTCTGTCTCCGTACACACGTTCCACCATCCAGTTCCAGTTCATTGCTGAACCTGCAATAACAGTTTATGATACGTTTGTATAAATCTAAAAGAACTCGTTCGTTACATTTTCCTAATTGTTTATATACGATTTTTGTTTAGATACCAATCCAACTCAGAATAGAGATTATGTACACAAAATATTTCCTAAAATAATGTATGATTGGACTGCCTCGTTGGCCGAGTGTCTCGGGGTCTCGGGTTTGATTCCCGGGTCGGGCAAAGTATAACATGGGTTTAAAAAAATCTGAGTAGTAGCACGGAGTCTGGAAATGTGCCCGATATATGGCAATAGGCTCACCCCTATTACATGGGACTCATAACATAAATAGTGAATAGTGGGCGTTACTTCTGTGTGCACCTCTGCCAACCCCTTCGGGGATAAAAGGCGTGATGTTATGTTATGTTATGTTATAATGTATGATTTTTGCAAAAATTACTGAAACTTACGTTTTTGCAGTCCGTGGTCTCGGCCGCCATAAATTACCGATATTGTTTGAGCTACATGGCGCGGTCACTGCGCGGTTTTTACGGACACCTTCGCTTTTTTTAGCTGTAAACACAATACGTCATATAAATATAGATCTTTTTTTTTAAGCGGGGAAAGTCATTGAATGACTTCTCCCGCCTGGGTGAGGCGGGAGGGAGTGTCAGACTCTTACTGACTAAAAACCACCCCGTTCCTTCTCCTGCGCTTCGAGCCGGAGCCCCGGTAACCCGTTAGGTTCTCCGCGACAAATATAGATTCTTTAGAATGATAATATTAAATTTAATTAAACCTAGTATAAATGTCTAGTATAAATGTCTATAAAAATTTGGCAAATATTTATAAAAACTGCATATTACGTTAACAAGGGCAAAGAAAGAGAATAACGTATCTGAATATACACATTGGGCCTCCTTTATAGCAGTTTAGTGGATCATAATAATAGGGATGATGACAGGGTATGAAAATTAAAAATCTATTTAGTCCGTAAGGAAGGTAATGAAAAAATATTAGAATCGTCTTTTTTTATTTTGTCATATAATAAAATTATACTTAGATATAACGAATCAAAGTTTAGGAGCGGGGGCTAAAACGTCATTTCTACGTATAAAATGTAAATAGAAGTGACGTCACGCGAGATTTCAAATCAATATATCGTCGGAATTATTCGTTTGTGTAAGAAAATAAAAAAATCGTGTGTAATGTTTTAAAAGAATCTACCAGACGGACATTAAAATAAAAATTTATCATATACTCTATTATTATATAGCAATGTACTGTAAACATTTCATTGTTACAATTAAGGATTAGGCAAACAGTACTTTATGATTTGCGAGCATAACAAACTAACAGCATCAGATACAAAAAAATATTTAAAGGCGAAAGTAAGAAACGAAAACATGTTATAAAGAAAATTTAAACATATTTATAAAAGCATGGTACTCACGCATAGAAGATGCGTCAAGTGGATGAGTATTGATGCGTCTTCGTGACTGCAATATGGAGTAAACAAGTGCGGCGAGGGACCGAGGTGGTGCGGTCGGCTTCTGATCCAAATTCAAAGCATTCATCTCGTCTTCATACTTCTCCCTCGTCTTCTTCACCACGTACCATGTCTCCATCATCCCTTTGCCCTTTACAGATTTCATGCCGCAACTCTCAAGAACGTAGTATCCGCTTAATATCTATGGGATTAAAATTACACGTGTATTTGTAAATGTGAAAGAACATTTTTGTTAATACATAACATCACGCCTTTTATCCCAGAGCAGTACGCAGAGGTGCACATTATACCACTGTACAATGTAACACCCACTTTTCACTATTGATGTTATGAGTCCCGTGTAATAGGGAGTGAGCCTATTGTCTATTGTTGTTAATATCTGTATGAAATTAATCATCAACAATAGTATGAAGTGACCAATTATGGCTGGCAGTTCTACCTCACATACTTTTATTTAAACCGTAAGTGGGTTTTTAAGACTTTACTGATGTAAAAACAACGCACTACGCTAGACCGATTTGGCTGATTTTGTGTTTTTTATCGTCAGTTTTTTTTTTCTTTTTTAAGGGGGGAAAATCATCGAATGACTGCCCCCGCCTGGGTGAGGCGGGAGGGAGTGTCAGACTCTTACTGACTAAAAACCACCCCGTTCCTTCTCCTGCACGTCGAGCCGGAGCCCCGGTTACCCGTTAGGTTCTCCGCGACTCCGAATCGGCATCGGCCCTATTGGGCCCCATCTGTGGTGGTCTGATGGCTCTTTGAGGCGCGCGCGGAACGCGATGCGCCGTACGCTCGGGTCTGTTTCTGGTCGGACGGGGAGCCACCCATGCTCGCCGTCCGCAGGCCCGCGCTTACGGTGGCCGGAGATCGTCCCGCGATCCCCGACGCCCGGTGTGTCCTTCACGATGGCTGGGTTGCGAGGAGGCAGCGCTTCGCTGCCTCACGCGTCCCGCCTCCTCCTTAGCTAGCATGACTGCTTCGCAAAAGGAGGAGACGGCATCCCAGTCCCCCTCGCTCCGCATCATGGCCTGCACTAGGCCCGGACGCGAGAGGTCGCCATCGCCGATCACTTCCCTGAGGGCACGGCGGTGCTCAGCCCACGCAGGGCATTCCGCTACGGTGTGTTCCACCGTGTCCTCAGGGCGGTCCTCGCAGTGATGACACCCGGGCGTTTCCTCCCGCCCCATCAGATACAGGTACCTCCCGAAACTTCCATGTCCGGTGAGGACCTGCGTCAGGCGGTAGGTGAGGACGCCGTAGCGTCTCTCAAGCCACTCCTCAAAGAGGGGACTTACCGCTGCAATGGCAGCGAGCCCAGCCCTCGGTTGCGACAGTCGTTGCTGCCATTCCGCCATGAGATCGCGCCGGAGCTCATCCCGCCACGCACTTATCTGGCGCGGCAGCGGAGTTTCGCCCCGGCGACGTGCCTCCGCGCGCATGTTATACACGCGCGCGAGCACCTTCGCCTCCAGATCCCACGGCGGTAATCCGGCAAGGAGGTTCGCCGACTCCCCAGCGATCGTGCGGTATCCGCGGATCATTCGGATCGCCATGACCCTCTGTGACTTGAGCAGCGTCCGAGCAGGACGCCGCAACAAGTTCGGCGCCCAAACAGGGGCGCCGTAGAGGGCCATGGACCGCACGACCCCGGCGTATTTTATCGTCAGTAGAAGGTTCTTATGATAGAAAAAAGTCCTGAAAATCCTACGGGAATGAGAGAAACGGGATTGCGCGTACGAAATCGCGGACAGAAGTTAGTTATCATTATATTTCGTTAGCTGCAAAACATTCACTGCGGGACATAGGAGTCTCCCGACCACTTCAAGAACGGTTGGCGAAGCGACCTGCTTGCAGCGGTTTCGTTTAGTCGGCGACATTTATCAGGTCGTTGCACCTCTTAAGTGGACGTCTTACTTTACTCTGCGCTTGGCAGTACGTGGCCTCCACACCAAAACCTTTTTGCTCTAAACACACATGTGGTTTCTACCTCAAGACCCAACTCACCTCCTTGGTGTCCTTCGTAACCTGTATCTTATCTATTTCCCGGTACTCTCCATCCTCGAAGCCTCGTTGACGGTGTTGCCCCAGATGTCATACACCGGTTTGGTTGCACCAATCACAGCGCCCACAAGGGGACCGCAGCTTATTCCTGGAACACACGACGGGGTTGAAACCGAATTCGATTTATTTAAAGCACTTGTGGAAGCATAATATTGTATTCTAAGATTTTCTTTAACTGTTCTGCCGTAATAATATGTGCAAAACTTATGTTTGTCTAGTGTAACTTGAGGTGAGGTTAATAAGTGTGGGAGAGCCATGCTTCGGCACGAATGGGCCGGCTCGACCGGAGTGATACCACGGCCTCACAGAAAACCGACGTGAAGCAACGCTTGCGTTGTGTTTCGTCGTGTGAGTGAGGTTACCGGAGGCTCAATTACCCTCCCCTTCCCCAATCTCCCCAATTCCTGAATCCCCAACGATCCTCAAACTCCTAATCCCCAAAAGGCCGTTAATGCACTTGTAACGCCTCTGGTGTTCCAGGTGTCCATGGGCGGCGCCGATTGCTTACCATCAGGTGATGCGTCTGCTCGTTTACCGGCTTATGCCATTAAAAACCAAAAAAACGTTATTTCCTAATACAATGAACTTACCAATTCGTAGTCGGAATTCGTAATAGCTGATACTTTTGACAGTTTCCCTGAGGGCGAGAGCAAAGTCCACAAGTGTATACAAGTGTTCATGCCCTTGATTCTCTCCTTTCTAACAAACGAAAAAATGTTATGCACCACACCCTTACAACTAATGAATCAACGTAGTAATATAATGCAAGACAATAAGGTCTAAAACTCTAGAGCATTTTTTCATAATCTTTGAATTTTTAATTAAAACTATAGGTACTTTACCTTTGGATCAGTTTGAAGTCCTGATGCAGCCATATAAATTGCGCCCACAGTCTTGATTTTTTCCACGCACTTGTATCGATTTTGTAGTTTTAATTTGTCGAAAACAACTGCAAACATAATAATCAAGAGTTATTATAAATTTTACAGAAGAATTATTTTTTTAATTATGCAAGAGAATTCCCCAAAATAGAATCATTATACTAAACTTAATGAAAGTAAGATATTATACAGTATACATACATATAATTTCGTTAAGTATACGAAGGCATTTGAGGGCATTTTTGTCCGAATAAAATTCGTCGAAGTTCGCAATGCTCGCGAACATAACACCCACCTCCGGGTGAACATGAGAGTATAATTTCTGTAAATCATAAAAGACGTTACATAAATTAGAATATAGTAAAGAAGAATATTGCTATTGATGACGAAATGGTCTTAAATGCGAGATTTTAGAGTCTGGCTACTGTTCGATTTTTCGATTTCAAAAGCTGGCAAGCAATAAAACGATAAAAAACCTGGAATTGCTTTAAATATATCACTACATAATAGTATAAAACAAAGTCGCTATCCACCGTCTGTCTGTCCCTATGTATGCTTAGATCTTTAAAACTACGCAACAGATTTTGATGCGGTTTTCTTTAATAGATAGAGTGATTCTTAAGGAAGGGTTATATGTACATACTTAAAAAAGTACATGCATAAAAATAATACATGCATATTGTACCCGCATGCATATTGTAACAAATAATATATGCATATTGTACCCGTGGGAAGCCGGGGCGGATCGCTAGTTGTTCATTATAGCATCATCATCGAATGGTTGGCAAAAAATGGTCCCTCTATTCATTTCAATATGTATTTTACTGCGTACTTTCTGTTTCAAAATATATTAAATTTATACTAACATCTGGATTCTGTTGCCAATCTTTACTAAGGAAATGCTTCACTGCATGATCCGGTAGGATATACTTTAGCAAATTCTTGTTAGACCGTTGTGTGTACTTCATCTCATCGAGATCAGTCTTCGCTTGCAGTTTCCAGAGGAAGTCCAGTCGTGAGATCACTTCCAAAAGCCGTGCGTGTATCACCACCACTATTAGAAACCCTATCATTAAGACTAGCATCTGTGCAGGGAGTAGCCTGGAAGATATGAATGAGTACATAGAAATTATAAATTAGATTAACTTTTATATTTGCATTACGACTGCCTCGTTGTCCGTGTGGTCGCAAATGCGACTGCCGGGCAAGGGGTCTCGGGGTCGATTCCCGGGTCGGGCAAAGTATTACTGGGTTTTAAAAAAAAATCTCAGTGGTAGCACGGAGTCTGGAATTGTGCCCGGTATATGGCAATAGGCTCACCCCCTATTACATGGGACTCATAACATGAAATAGTGAAAAGTAGGCGTTACATTATACAGTGGCATAATGTACACCTCTGCCTACCCCTTCGAGGATAAAAGGCGTGATGTTATGTATGTATGCATTTGCATTAAGACTCTAGCCTCTGGGTCAAGGGCTTAGGGCCCCTTTTCAGTAGGTGAAGCATGAGGGACTGTCAGAAGCATGCTTTCCAGAAAGACCGAGATTCTATACAGACATACAATACATTTTATTTTCTTCTCCTCTATTAATATCATCTGTTTTATTTGTGTTCATCATGTTGCGGGTTTTAAGACAATTATTCATGTCCCTGGGACGCGCCGCACTTCAGTGTTCCGGTGTTTTCATGGTTGTATCTACTGTAGATCCTGGCTTACAGGAGTTGCAGCGGTTTTGGGAGGTTGTGGTCAGCTTGTCCCAATAAGAAAGGACACAAAATACAACAAAAAATAATAAATTAAAATCTGATACTCACGCATTCCTAGTCTGATAATATTTGTAGTAGCGGACCAGTATGATGCAGTACATGACTACGTTGACGATGGCTAGAATGGTCTTTATAATGAAGTACAGCTTCAGCACCGAGGTCAACGCCACCAGGCACAGCACCCACGTGAACACCACGTACTCCGGCCGGTAGCACTCGACTAGTAAAAAGGTAACAGTTAACGAAATATTTTACACTAGCTGTTGCCCGCGACTTCGTCCGCGTAGATTAATGACTTCTGACAGAATTAACCAGAATCAATTCAGTGCCCAAGTAAGATTTACCTATTTTGAAAATGATTTATCGTAGTTTCAATAAATAAATAATCCTGCGGGATCTTACCAGTACAGTGCCTGATCACGTAAGGTTTGAGTAATAAAAACTATTCTATCGACTATTGTTGTACCGAATCTCTCTAGAATAAGTTCAGTGGTTAAGAGTTAGAGAGTCCTGGGGCATTGACGCATATGTTCTCCGTTCTCGTGAGACATCTGTGAAAAAACTATCATACGTTACCCAGGTCCCAAATCATCGTTTTACCGAATGTAATTCAAAAAGATTCAATGATTCTAAATTCAATGGCTAAGAAGATTTATACAAACTCTCATTCCCTATTTTATCCCCTTAGGGGTGGAATTTATCAAAATCCTTTCTAAGGAGATACCTATGTCATAGCAACTTTATGCATGCAAAGTCTCAGCCCGATCAATTTAAAACTGGCAAAGTATCATACAAACTTTCACCCCCTATTTTACCCACTTTGGGGTGAGAATGTTCAAAAACCTTTCTAAAGGGACGTTTACGTCATAATATCCATCTGCACGCCGAATTTCAACCCGATCGGTGTAAAACTGACAAAGCTTCATACAAACGTTCATCCCCTACATTACCCCATTGGAGGTGGAAATAATCAAAATCCTTACTTGGGGATGCCTACGTCATAACATCTACCTGCATGCCGAATTTCATCCATCGGTGTAAAACTGACAAAGCTTCATATAAACTTTCACCCCCTATTTTACCCCTTAGGGGTGGAAATGATCAAAATCCTTTCTTAGCGGATGCCTATGATAACATCTATCTGCATGCCAAATTTCAACGATCGATTTAAAACTGACAAAGTCTCATACAAACTTTCATCCCCTATTTTACCCCCTTGGGGGTGGAAATTATCAAAATCCTTTCACAGCGGATGCCTACGTCATAACATCTATCTGCATGCCAAATTTCAACCCGATCGATTTAAAACTGACAGTCTCATACAAACTTTCATCCCCTATTTTACCCCCTTGGGGGTGGAAATTATCAAAATCCTTTCAAAGCGGATGCTTACGTCATAACATCTATCTGCATGCCAAATTTCAACCCGATCGGTTTAAAACTGACAAAGTCTCATACAAACTTTCATCCCCTATTTTACCCCCTTGGGGGTGGAAATTATCAAAATCCTTTCACAGCTGATGCTTACGTCATAACATCTATCTGCATGCTAAATTACAACCCGATCGGTTTAAAACTGACTAAGTCTCATACAAACTTTCATCCCCTATTTTACCCCCTTGGGGGTGGAAATTATCAAAATCCTTTCACAGTGGATGCTTACGTCATAACATCTATCTGCGTGTCAAATTTCAACCCGATCAGTTAAAAACTGACAAAGTTTCATACAAACTTTCATCCCCTTTTTTACCCCCTTGGGGGTGGAAATTATCAAAATCCTTTCTTAGCGGATGCCTACGTCATAACATCTATCTGTATTCCAAATTTTAGCCCAATCTGTCCAGCGGTTTGGGCTGTGCGTTGATAGATCACTATGTCAGTCAGTCAGTCAGTCAATCACCTTTGAATTTTATATATACAGATAAGTATTTTTAATAGAAAAAGTTTTCTAACATATTTTGTTCGATTTACTTGTAGATATTATTTATTTTCAGCCATGATAGTCCCACTGCAGGGCAAAGGCCTCTCTACCCTCCTTCCACTCCTCTACATGTAAAGTTTTTTGCGGCCAATCCTTGTCATAGATGTCTAATTTGTCCCGCCATCTCCTTTGCCATTGTACCAATTGTTTTGTCTTTTGTCTTACATAGCACTTTGAATGTTTTTTAATAATCGAAAATTTGAATACAAAAAAGTAAAGTTTTGTTCCAAACCTGGATCTTTAACTGTAGTTATATTGTCTGGCGCACAGATTATATTGATTGCAGTGTTGGTGTTCGGACGCTCGGGGAGGTATAACAACGGACACGAGTAAAGCTTTACCGTACTGAAAGAAAAACAAAACAACATCTTATTGGGAATGTGTCCGAAACAGGTTTAGGGAACAGAGAGTATAGTTCCCTAAGATCGGAAAAGGAGGATCCTCCGACCAGGCGAGGTGATCGTGCCTGGCGGTTTCTGCCCGACAGTTGTTCGTTGGGATTTTCTATCCGTGTTTATTCGCTTGTAAACTTTGCATGTGCGATGTAGGATTCTTGTGACGTCATCCGTTGACATGTGGCATGCGTCGCCACACAGGAATGAACGCAATTTGTTTTTACAAGAATTTAAACTTAATAGACTGGATGTAGGTCTGATACAGAGTATACTTGCACAACCAACTTCAAAAGCGGCTAAACGATTGTACACAATGATAAAAATTGTCCAAGAGTTATCAGTAGTTATTTACTTAATGTGTTCAATTAATGTAATTATAGTACCTACATAGATATATACATAAGTACCTAATGTGAAACTGTAATTTAAGTCATGTGCTCACTTTAGAATAAGGTACGATAGGGTTGGCATATCCTTAATGGATAAAAACCCCAATACATTTATATATAAGTAAATAAAGATAACAATAATAAAAAAAAATCTTAATGGTAGCGGTGAATGATGGAGCAGCCCTGATATATGGAAAACTCAAAATCATTCTAAGACTATTCATAAGAATTTTCTAAAGACAATTTCCAAATGAAAGACTGGGTGAATGGTAAACCCGCAAGTGTGCACCTGCCTACTTTTTCGGGAATCATAAAGACATTCTGACGTATTAGATTTCAAATACCTGGTTACAGCCATAACAGTGATGAAACAGCAGATGTGAACAATCTTGAACGTGCGCATCTTGTTGAATTGTACAGAGAGCCTGTACAACACCATGGGCACACAGGTGAACTCCTCCAGCATCACCAGAGCGAACGAGAGCGTTAGAGGCACCGTCATTACTGCTAGCACCACAATGAGAGTCGGACAGCTGTGAAAAGATCAAATTACTATTATTTACTTGCCTGCCTCGTTGGCCGAGTGGTCGCAATTGCGACTTCCGGGCAAGGGGTCTCGGGTTCGATTCCCGGGTCGGGCAAAGTATTACTGGGTTTAAAAAAAAATCTCAGTAGTAGCACGGAGTCTGGAATTGTGCCCGGTATATGGCAATAGGCTCACCCCCTATTACATGGGACTCATAACATAAATAATGAAAAGTGGGTGTTACATTGTACAGTGACATTAAGTATCGTAATGTGCACCTCTGCCTACCCCTTCGGGGATAAAAGGTGTGATGTTATGTTATTATATGTTATTATTTACATGTGGTGGTCCAAAGTTTAAGTATTGTAAGTTTGAAATCGTCAACCCGCATTGAGCAAGGGTGATGATTAATGCTCAAACCTTATCTGTACAAAAACATTTAGAGGCTGCTAAAGAGCATGTGATGTGTGTATGACATAAAACCCAGTTACTAACAGTCACCCAAAAGAAAATAAGTGAGCAGTTGAAAGGGAAAGATGCAAATGATTCCTATTTAAATTATATTCGTGATGAACACTGGCTCTCTAACTTGCATTTAATTTTTTACTTAAATCTCTTTTCTTTCTCTTTTTAGTCTCTTTATTATAAAACATTGCTCCACACTAGGATTTTCTCTTGTATCCATCTCATATGGGTGCGTTTACAAACATACAAGTTGACATACACATAACACCCAGACACACCAATTTGTGGATCACACAAACAGCTGTTCCGTGCGGGAATCGACCCCTGGCACGCTGCGTGGTAGCCAGTTGCCCAGTCTTGTATGAGTACAACTCACTTAAACACACTTACTTGTACTCATTTACTTGTACCCTTACTTAAATGAACTCATACTTTCAAACTTCAAAAATTCATAATTGTTTATTATCTTAAGAATTACAATATCACATAACATTGAGGCAGTCCCAGTAAGTTATTATACAATACTTGTGGTGGGACTGACTCCAACCTTTCTTTATTTATTTAACACTCTTAAGAATAATAGCTTTCAGATCTGTAAATGACCTAATAAAAAATACTTACTTATAGTAAACAAGGATTTGTACAGCTACAACGAAGAGCCAGAGTACGAAACAGCACATGATGTTGGACTTGAAGGTCTCCTCGTCCAGTCTTCCGAACTGAGCCTCGATGGTGGGCCGGTTGAACCGCAGCGACCAGCCGTACATAAATTGCAAGCGCATTCGTTGCATGGGGTTGGTTTCAAGCAAATGTGTTATTATGTCGCTTTCCTGTACAATTTAAGTGGTTGAAAAATTATTAAAATGTCTTATTCTAAACGATTGAAGTCATTATGATGACTGAGTAAATTAAATTTGTGACCACCCCCGCTCTTCCCGCAGGTCTCGAATTCTTTGTTAAACCTTCTTTTTTATGGAATAACCCGGTAAACGATCAGACGGATCACCTGACGGTAAGCGATCGGCGTAGTCATTGGACACACGGAACACCTGAGGCGTTATAAGTGCATTACCCGTCTTTTGGGGATTAGGAATTTGAGAATGGGCCTCCGGTAACCTCACTCACACGACGACACGAAACGTGCTTGCACTTTTTTGCGCATCGTGGAGATTATGGGAAAACTTTCTTATAAAGGGGCACATAGTCTAGCAGTGAATTATTATCGGGCTTATGGTACTATTGTAAATTAAGGTCTTGGCTTGGATATGTTACTTTTACGCTAGATCCTACAACCTATAGACCAGTCAATATTGTAGACAATAAGTGTAGTTTCGTAAAATCTTCTTACCTCTACTTCTGATATAGGTGGTACGTCTTGGGCGAGATCTTCATAGCTTGGATTAACATCATATAACTGTAAAAAAGGAAACACTGTAAAAGGAATATACGGAGGGAAATATCTCAATCCTTGATTTTTTAAGAGTTAACGAACTTCAGATTCGGTGGATGGAGAATGATACTAATTTTTTTTCAGGCTATAGACTGATAGGGAAGTTTTATACTAATGTATTGCAGTATTTATAAGAATAATTATATAAATTAAAATTATAATATGTAGTATGTACGTCTGCGAAAGGAAACTTCGGAGTCCATTCCTCAGCGAGGCTGCTTGGTCGACGGCCGGGAGGAAGGTCCCAGGTTAACTGAGAGGTTGACGGCAGACTGGGGAAAGAAGATATACACAACATATTGAATTAGTTGGTTGTCTCAATGGGTCTACAATCTACATATTTTAGTAATTAAAAATTCAGTGTAACATACACACGCACGCACACATACACACACACACACACACACACACACACACGAGCGTCTTAATTACATGTAATTGAAGGTTGTGTTGTGAGTCCCGTGTAAAAAGGGAACCTAACTCTGCGCTATTATCCAATGGAGAAGAGTTAATGACCCGGTAATACTTCTGTGAACCCAGTGACCGAATTTGAGATCCTGTTCTTCGACATTCGCGCTTGCTGTCACTCTTAACGAATCAGTTAAATCAATTGTAAAAATGAGGTAGTCCATCCTATTCTATTATGACTATTAACACGCTAAACACCATGAGGGTCATCGGTGACTGACTTTAGCGGAGGAATTGCCTTCATCATAACATCACGCCTTTTTATCCCCGAAGGATTAGGCAGAGGTACACATTGTACCACTGTACAATGTAACACCCACTTTTCAATATTTGTGTTATGAGTTCCATGTAATAGAGGGTGAGCCTATTGCCATATACGGGGCACAATTCCAGACTCCGTGCTACTACTGAGATTTTTTTTAAAACCTACTGAGAGGAAAAACTGCTACTTTTTTAAATACTATTGAGAATTACCTTCAACAGTTTTCTATTGGCAGTCAAAGACTTAGTAATACTAATGCGAAAGTATGTAAAGATGGGTGATAGATTATAAGATATGGGCTACTTTTATCCCAGTAACGGGCCGAAGCCGCTGGTAAAAGCTAGTCCATTATAAAAATCACTGGTTACCTGTTTCTGTGGGTAAATTTCGGGTATTGTATTGGTTCTGGATCCGGGAATTTGATGAAGTAGGTATCTGGATGGTGTTCCTTGAGGTATGGATCTCGTGTTCCACCATACCCTGGTTCCACCTCAAAGGCTCCGTTTAAGCATTTAAGAGTAGCAGCCGAAATGTGGACACGTCTGGAATATTTTGCATTGAACTTAAGATGGGTGATTTTACTAACATAACATAAGATCACGCCTTTTATCCCCGAAGGGGTAGGCAGAGGTGCACTTACCTTCACCTAGTTTCACTGACGGACTGACTGACAGACTATTGTTTATTTTGTATTTGTTGACGTTTCAAAGGTACCAAACTATGGTTTAATTGAAATAAATGCTTTGACTTTGTGCACATTATGCCACTGTACAATGTAACACCCACTTTTCACTATTTATGTTACGAGTCCCATGTAATAGGGGGTGAGCCTATTGCCATACATAGTTCGAGACTCTATGCTACTACTGAGAACCCAGTAATACTTTGCCCGACCCGTGAATCGAACCCGAGACCCCTTGCCCGGCAGTCGCACTTGCGACCACTCGGCCAATGAGGTGGTCAGTGATTTCACTAATAAAAGGTATAATATGTCAATGGTTAAAAATAGAATCGTCTGATAGCCAGTCCACGTAATAGTGAAGTTGATGCTAGCCTACCGTGGTTCATGTACTATTTATTTTACATTTGTACGAGCAAGAAGCTCCCATGGTTGATCAGATAAAAATATACGTAATCAAAGCTGTTTTTGTCACAGGTAAATATTGCTTGTGGACATTTGTAGGGTATTCTAGAAAGATCTTGGGTTGATCACAAAATACACAATTTGAGGAATATTTTTTTTTAAGAGGGGAAAATCATCGAATGACTTCTCCCGCCTGGGTGAGGCGGGAGAGAGTGTCAGACTCTTACTGACTAAAAACTACCCCGTTCTCCTGCACTTCGAGCCGAAGCCCCGGCAACCCGTTTGAGGAATATTTACGTTCATCTTCGTAAAAGTGATAAATACATACATACATAACATCACGCCTTTTATCCCCGAAGGGGTAGGCAGAGGTGCACATTACAGCACTTAATGCCATTGTACGATGTAACACCCACTTTTCACTATTTATGTTATGAGTCCCATGTAATAGGGGGTGAGCCTATTGCCATATACCGGGCACATTTCCAGACTCCGTGCTACTACTGAGGTTTTTACAAACTCAGTAATACTTTGCCCAACCCAGGAATCGAACCCGAGACCCCTTGCCCGGTAGTTGCACTTGCGACCACTCGGCCAATGAAGCAGTCACAAGTGACAAATATTAGTTGCAAAAGCTCTGGATGCTGGACGGTGATAGTAAAATGTTTACCCAGGCAATCCTCCACTCTCCATGTGTTGTGCGAGGGTGACGTCACGTGACCACAGGTCGAACTGCCACTTCAGAAGGCCCAGCACTCCGCACAGCACCTTACCACTGTGAATTCCAATGCGCATGTCCAGTTCCTAGTAACGAAAAAAACAACCGTCATTTATTGAGTTCATTTTGAAATTGATTTAGTATGCGAGTGACGTGACGTTGCTGGAAAATCTAACCCCGTCCCCTAAAATACGGTAACGCACTTGAAACTATTGCCGTTGCTTACCATCAGGTGATCCGTCTGCTTTGATGGAAACAGCCTAATGCAGACTTCAGATCTACTCCCACATTATTGTGTTTTGCTTCTTTAGAATGCGTATGATTAAATATTTTATCTTTCTTTTTAACCGACTTCAAAAAAAGGAGGAGGTCTTTTTTTTTGGAGGACTTCTAACCTATCAGTGGGTGTGTGAGCTATAAGTATCTACGTATGACCAATAATAGTTATTTTTTTCCTTTTTAGTTTTTACTTTACGTATGTCTTCATTTCGTTTTTTAAACGCAGTTTTTTAATTTTTTATATATATATTTTTTTATGGTGCTAACAAACTCACTCCTTCCATAGTATCCTTCATAGTTTCCCGTACTTCTCGGATGGCGCGTATCATGCTGAGTCCCATGTTGACGCAGCACTGGGCGTGGTCCTCTCGCCGCTCCGGCACCCCGCTGACACAGTAGTAACAGTCTCCTAGCAGCTTTATGCGGACGCAGTTGTTCTCCTGTGATCAAAATACAATGTAGGTTTCCGATTTTGTTCACTAGATGGAGTTATTGTTGCACGAGCTAAAGGAAATATAGGGCGCCATTCATGCACACCTTTGTCAGATCAGCCTCCATAACTAAGGACATAGGATTATATTTTAGATAAGGATCAATGTCTTACCGATGCCAGCTTGTCAAAACCTGCAAACAGTGCATACAGCGTATCAACCAATTCTTCTGCGCTGCATTTACTGGATAATTCTAAAACATAGAAAAGATAATTAGATAATATTATATTTACTCTAGTTTTTCAAAAATCTATCAGTTTTAACACGGACTTTGGAATTGGTTATCATTGTTGGCAAAAAGTCATCTATTACATAGTACTAGCAAAGTGTTGCAATGTTTTTGTGCACTTCTGACTGTCTATTTCTTCGGAGATGACGGACGTTATTTTGTGTTATTTTGACGAAGAGATAGATGTAGAAGATCGGAGTACCTATAATCACTATGTAAAAGTTTGACTTACCAGTGAAGCCCTTGATGTCAGCAAACAGTATGGACACGTCCTGGTGGATGGGTGTTACATTGACCAGCTTACTCAACTGCTCCTCATCAATTATCTCACCTTTTGCACAGATGCCTATAATCTTTTCCGCCATGAAGTCTGGTATTACTACAACAAGAAATAAATTAGTTAGAGAATAATTCCTTATTATATTATCCTTAATTTAATAGTATGCGTCAATACTTCTTTGCCCGATCTGGATCCTTAACTCCAGACCCTATGCTCTGAGGTCTTCGTACGAGTTTGTTTTACGTTTAAAGTAATCGAAAGAAACCTTGTCGGACGCGCTGATTGGTTGGTTCATTGGAGCCGGCCAATTACAGCGCCGAACGCGTACTCCTTTCGATTACTTTAAATGTAATGGAAACTCGTACTAACGTATCAGTAGTCACACTTGTAATTGTAACCATTCGGTTTATTATTTACTTCTAATGACAATTGAATACCAACCGCTTTGAAAAAGCTTGAGTTGTCTATCACTTTCTTTTTTAGTCTTCTCGTAAGCGATCATAGACTTTCGCGTCTCCAGAAAAACTTTCCTCTGCCCCCAGTCCATTAGGGACTTGGCATACAGACCGGCAAGGTTCACTGCTACGTACAGTACCAAATTACTAGCTGTTATTCGAAGAGTGCAGTTGTAGTCCTGAAACGAAAAAACCAGAAAATATTAATCAAATCTCATAGGTACATTACATACTTTATTATAATTAGTTGGTTTTGTGAACAAGTACGGATAGACACAAAATTTTTATAGGACATGAAGACTTGAATATTGTATGAGTGTGTACTCGTTTCCTATTCCTATCACCATCTTGATATAGTAGATTATGGTTAATAGATAGTAGTACTAACTGACTAACTTAACCAACATATTCTTTAGATAATATGGTATTCTATATGGTGTTTACTACTCTATGTGAACGAAGGTCGACTTGGTGATGATGGATGAAATAATACACTGTACTGAAATATTATTCGCGTATAATTTATGAATTACCGTAGAAAATATTTCCCCAATATAAATCCCGATAACGAAACCATAGCGCCATCTAATTCGATCCCAACGCCATCTATCCAGCGCTGGGACAACTCGTGTAAATTATGAATTGTATTAATATAAAATGTTGATAGCGCTATGATCCCGTTACCGCTCCGAACACTATGTATGTATGTATATAGATGTTGCTTCTAATTTTAAAAATATGCTCTATAATAAAAACAAAATTGTTCTGGCTTCCATGTCCCTCTAGAGAGTCTAGAGTAGACATATTGATATCTCTCTTGAAGTTCCAATTATGCAGGTTTTGCTGTTAAAAAAACCCATAATTTTATTATGTTGTATCTACTTAGACTTACATTACCAAGACAATTGACAGCAGTAGTTTCAGATGCTATGCGCATTTTAATGTCCAGCAGGGTCTGTACGAATTGTGCTGCAATAGACAGCATTCCGATGGTGATACACCAGCACAAGGACAGTGGGAACATAGCGTATGGTACAAAAATTACGAACAGCATGTACCATACTTGGTTCTGAGATTCTGAGATTCCTTGAAAGCCGATCCCTTGTTTACATAAACCTAGAAATATAAATGACTGAGTTTTTATGTTCATTTTTAGTCTCACTTCTATAGTAAACACAAGACTGACGTAAAGCATCGCTTGCGTTGTGTTTTGTACCGGAGGCCCAATTACGAGTTTTATTTTCAAAAAAGTAAGGAATTAAATGTTCTTTTTACGTAATAATAGTTATAATCAAATGTTAAAGGGTAATGTTGAATGATTAATACGAAAACAATATTGATTAAAATTGTAAAAACAAAAAAAAATACAGTGTTTTCAGAAGGGTTCTTTTTACAGCCTGTATGTCAAATTTGCTATGCAAAGAAGTAAGATATACATTGGACAAGAAGCAGCATCCAGGTAGCGGCGGCGGCCCAGTGGAGATGTTTGTTCGCGAAGTTTGTCCATAGGCTGATGCAGCATAGAAGCAGATTGATACACATGAACGCAGCTGTCCATGATACCTGTGTTATACTCGGTATGGCATCTGGAACATACATATAGTTTATGGGTACATTTATGACTGTGTTGTTAGTATAAGTGATTGTTGAGCATTGTAGTAATGGCATTTAATGATTTCTTAGTCAACCCCTAACAATATTTGAAACAAAAACGTTGCTAATTGTTGATGCTACGTACAAAAAGAAAATATCATCATTATTATTGCTTGTCTAATAGTTCTTTCTTTGCTCGATAGATGGCGTTGAAATAAACTATTGTATTTTTGAACAATATACTAAAAACTCACCATGTTTATCAGTTATTGTATATATAACTATTAGTGCCACCTGTGGTAGAAATTAGAAAATAATTAATAAAATAAGTCATAATTTTATAAAGATAATTAATTGAATTAGAGTACAAATTAACTTACTTTTAGTGCTAAATCAACGAGATTGACTTGTATGACTGATTTTTGTCGCTGCTTCCGAGAGTACCTTTGATAGGAAAGCTCTATGCTACGCGTCTGGAACATATAAAGTTAAATATTAATTAGTTTAATTACAGGAAAATAGACTTTATTTTTATTAATAAAAAAGATATTAAGTATGGAAGTTCTTGGACTGGTAACTATGGAGTTTCTCGCTCGCATCGACACTAGTCTTTAAAATATGTTTTGAAATCTTACAATTTCATATTTTACAGGTAACTATACAACCTTTCGTTTAAAAAAAACACGAAAGCAAGACTATGTGAGTTTATGCTACATTTTCGGCGGTATTTCCGAACTGATACGACCTTCAAATCTTCAAGAAAAGAGCGTATTCTTTTTTTAAATGCGTTCTGTGGTGTCGCCGCCCATAGATACCCGTCCATGGGCGGCGCTGATCGCTTACCATCATGTGATCCGTCTGCTCGTTTGCTTTATATTCCATAAAAAAACATTCTCTCATCATCGACAATAGGTGCCGCTACTGTAATTAATCTCACCTTAAAAGTATTTATGATTGTTGGACAGTAAATACGTTTGTAGTAAAGTGGTTGGGGCATCTCATTCGAATGACCTGGAATGTCAATAAAACATAGTTAGTGAATTATTATCAATATCGATATCACAATAGACAAAAGATATCCAACGTTCACTGCTTGACTGAATCTCTCCCAATAACTGTTCGAATTCGGTAGTTCATTCAGTCAAACATATTTTTTTTAGACGTTGTTCAAAAATAATCAAAGTTCCATTAATTGTTTCTACAATATACTCAATTTTCGTATTTTCCTAGCTAAAAATTAAGTATTCCATTTAACACAAAATATTATGACGTCATGCAATTGAAAAAAATATGATACATTGAAAAAAATATGATCAATCTTGATCAAGACAACATTTACTAAATCTTGACGACGTAGCAGTGCTACGGCGTAGCTCCTCTTGCTACGAAATTGGACTTAAATTATTACGCCAATGTGTAATGTTTTTTTTTTTTATAAGTATGTGTTTTGTTTTTGATACTTACTGTCATCGCCATCTAAGTCTATTATACTGTTTGTAGATAGGCTTCTAGATCGCAGGCAATGCTGGAAAATACATAAAACTATCAACTCTATGAAGAAAGTAATTGTTTATCAATTGTTTCGTGTCATATTACAGAGTAATTAATTAACTATTAAATTATGTTTTCCAAATACGTGTAAATATTTCTGTGTAATTCTGAGTAAATTGTGTAAATTCCTTGTTAATTAATAAATTATTATACGTACGTAATTTTTTGTGGGAAATTAAGGTATTAATCAGAAAGGTATAAATCAAGGTATGTTACTTATAATCACACTTATTCATTAAAATTTGCACGAAAATCCCGACTAATATTATAATTCCAAATCTCTCCAATCGCGAATCCCTAACAATCCTCAAATTCATAATCCTCAAAAGGTCGGTAACGCACTTGCAAGTGCAACGCCTTTGGTGTTTCGGGTGTCTATGTGCGACGGCGATTGCTTACGATCAGGTGATCCGTGTGCTCGTTTACCGGCTATTCCCATAAAAAATTGTCAACGTAAGTTTGGTTATTTGTTTGTGCGGGAAAATCCCGAAATTGTAAAATTATCGGGATTTTCCCATATAGAACGGGAAAAATTCAGCAGATGCTGGTGCTTAAAGTATTTTGTTGCCATTATTATACAAAAAATATAATAAACTTCTTTTTGTAGTTAGAAGTTCCATAAATAGTTATAATTATAAATATCCTTCTATCAATATCATAATGATATTATTAGTTATTTCTAAATGAAACTGGTTTCGTTGCTACAGGGATAATTTTGTATAGCGATGAAAATAATGCTACTAATAACGTCATGTAGTTAATCCTAATATGGTGGTTGCAATAATAACTATGGTATTGATTTATTTATCAGTGTTTTAATCCCGTTGCAAAATTGTAATAAATACTTTTCTTACTTTTTTATTGTTTTTATTATTAAATCTTTTTTACACGCTTTTTAGTATGACGATGTTTGTTTGCCTGTAATAGAATCTTGCAAATGTATTTTTGTAATTGTTACATACATATAGAACGATTTGATTTTATCGAACCGATAGTTCTATAAAGGTTGTACACACGGCTACACATCGAGCTTTATATAACCAGTATAAACTGAACGTTAAATGTGCGGAAAGATGATGCAACGCGACACCAGGATAAACTGGTTTTGTATAGATTGATGTGTGGCCGTGTGCATAACAAGAACTTACATTGCCATTTGCAAGATGTATATGTTTGTCGTCTCCTATCTCGGAAGGCGTAGTCTCCTCCATATTGTCTTAACACTGCAGCCTATAAAAGAAAAAAAAAAACAATACAATATCAAAATACGGACATCGCAACGTCATATTTAGCATATTTGTTAAATGTTATAAAACTGTTGTAACTTTCGTGTGACGTACTAAAATAATTATTTTGTTTCTCGGCTTACTCACGTAATTATTTGGCGAGGAACTCGACTAGTTTCAAGCCAGGCCAAAGGCTCATATCCATGAGCAGCATTCCGACGCGGCGACTGTCGCGCTGCTATTGGCTCGACTGTCGAGCCCTCGTCTAATAATTACGTGAGTAAGACGAAAAAATAATAATTAAGTCATAAAATTGTATTAATTTTTGTGACGACAAGTCATAAGAACTTGCTTGACGCATGAGTATATTCTACATGGGCCAACTAGAGAATAATACTATAAATATAATTTGCCCTCTTTAAAATACTAAGGGTGGTATGGATGGTATCATCATCAACAGGCTATATGTAGCCACTGTTGAACATTGGCCTTTACTCACACGGAGAAGGTTTGAGCATTAATCTCCACGCTTGCTCAATGCGGGTTGGCGATTTCAGACTTATAATTAGAATTTATAAGTCCAGGTTTCCTCACGATGTTTTCCTTAACCGTTTGTCAGTGTGTCTAAATAATCTTAAAAAGGATCTCAGAAAAAGTCAAATGGATACTTGTCGTTGATAGGTTTAGAATCCACCCCCTCATACGTGAGAAGCGGGCGTCTTGAGCCTCCGAGCCACCACGACATTTTATTTTTATTGGTATCAGTATGACATTAAACACTCATTGTAACTTCATTGAGTGAAAAGTGCGAGTTAAATTAACACTTAACGCGATCTTATTGGTGAAAGAATTTAGGCATATAAATTGAAAAAAAAAAGAAATGTATTAATTATTTTACACGTTTGCAGTGTACATAATAACTACATATGTACATAATATTGATGACATGTCAATACATAACATGATTCTTGGGTACACCCAAGAATATCGTATCACTTCTAGTGGGTTGTGAGGACTAATTGTGGTCAATAAGACCTAGTCGGGAAATTACCACTAGAAAGTTATTAACTTGTAAACAAGTATAGTCACACATTTAGTATGTATGAGTAATTGTCATGCATGTTTTGCTTAGTACTAAAAATAAATAAAACTATACTATACATAGATCATGATTTAAAGGACATCGAACCACAATTATGCTAAATAATTATTAATCTATATATATAAAAGAAAGTCGTGTTAGTTACACTATTTATAACTCAAGAACACCTCAATCGATTTAGATGGAAATTGGCAGGGAGGTACCTTAGAACAAGGAGACGGACATAGGATACTTTTTAAACAACACTTTTTTTTACTTTTTACCGAAAATCACGAACGGGAACGGGGGAAAATGGGATTGTGCGTACGAAGTCGCGGGCAGAAGCTAGTATATCATAATTTTTTTATGGGATAAGCCTGTAAACGAACAGACGGATCACCTGATGGATGCCCGGAACACCAGAGGCGTTACAAGTACGTTACCGGCCTTTAAGGGATTAGGAATTTGAGGATTGTTGGGGATTCAGGGATTGGGGAGATTGTGGAGGGGGAGGAATTGGGACTCACACGACGGAACACAACGCCACTTTGTTTCACGTCGGTTTTCTGTAAGGCCGTGGTATCACTCCGGTCGAGCCGGCCCATTCGTGCAGAAGCATGGTTTTCCTGCTCTTAAAACACTTATCTTATGTAGACCTATGTTCCAACAATCTTGTGTAACAAGCTATCTAAATATAATATTGTCAATGCAAAAATATATATGTATATAAATAATTTATTTCGGACATCTAAGAGATCCATAAAATTAATTAATATCTATACCATACAACATTAATACCATACCATCGCAGTCATACAAAATTTAGTCAAATATCATAATTACATTAAAATCAGTCATACTTAATATATGTTTGTTTGCTTGTTAAAGAGTAACAATACTCTTTTACGTCAAAACGACTGAAGGGATAGATTATGGTCTGAAATTACATATAGGCTACTTTTTAAATATACACATATAAATATGTATATGTAGGTACATAAGATAACATTTACCTGCATACCTGTATTATGTAACAGGTAAAATATCTTTCACGAGTTACATATTCCACGTTATAATAGTGATGACGAGTCAGTCAAAAATAGTTTCCACTGATAAACTGATTTATCTAATTTCAAACTTAGCAGGATACATACAAATATGTTAGTTGAGTATCGAAATTGATTAGTTGCAGTACTGGGAGCAGGCCTCGACCAGTAATGGCCTGACCAGTAATGCGTGCAATGTATATCATAATCATAATGCGATACGATACGATCTTGATTCAGCTTACGAGATTGTGGATATGTGGGATGTGGATCCAGCGATTATTATGCCGATAGTCGTTTCCGCATTTGCAGCTTTTAGCAATGCGGCCAATGGGCCTCGACCAACACCTGAGTAGGCTACCGTTACCGTTAGATGGTTGGATCAAGAACCTGATGCAGAAAGTAGTATTGTCCGAATGTTTCTCTCTGTGGAGCCCTGACCTGAACGTTTTTTTATATAATTATTATTTAAATATCATTATCATAATCATCAATAAATGCCCACTGCTGAGCAAAGCCTCTTCTCAAATGGAGATGGTTAGAGCATTAATCACCACGCTTGCTCAATGCGGGTTGGCGAATTCAAACTTATAATTAGAAATTATAAGCCCCGGTTTCCTCACGATGTTTTCCTTCACCGTTGGTCAGTGGTGTCTAAATAATCTTAGAAAGTACATGTAATTCGGAAAAAGTCACATTGGTACTTGCCGTTGCTAGGTTTCGAACCTGCACCCTCATGCATGAGAAGAAAGGCGTCTTCAACCTCCGCACCACACATTTAAATATACAAAATAATAAAGAGATATTGTCCAATAGGTTAGACGACTAATTTTTATTTTAATGTCTGTCTGATAGATTATTTAAAAACATTAGACACGTATTTTTTATTTTCTCACAGAAGCGAATAGTTTCGAAGATATATTGATTTGAAATGTCGCGTGACGTCACTTCTCAGTACATTTTATACTAAGGAATGACGTTTTAGCCCCCACTCCTAAACTTTGATTCGTTTTATCTAAGTATTGTTTTATTATACGACAAAATAAAAAAATACGTGTCTAATATTTTTTCATTACCTAACTTACGGACTAATTATATTTTTAATTTTCATACCCTGTCATCATCCCCATTCACAATTGTGAATACTTTCCCAGAATTTCAATAACTTCTTGGCGGGATAAAAACCCGATAGGCAGTACAAAACGCCTTTAAAGAATTTGTTGCGTCCCGTCCAGCTAATTTTTTAAGAAGGGCGTCGATAACAGTTTATTTATTTTTTGCCAATGCAGTGGCAGTACTGCAATAATTATAAAAACTCGATAATTTTGTTGCTAAATCATGGCATAAAAACAGTTAATGCTACGCCATGCCATGCAAAGCCATGCTATGCTATGCCATGCAACGCCATGCCATGCAAGGCCATGCCATGCAACGCCATGCCATGCAACGCCATGCCATGCAAGGTCATGCCATGCAAAGTTATGCCATGCAAGGTCATGCCATGAAGAGCCATGCCATGCCATGCAATGCCGTGCCATGCCATGCAACGCCAGGCCATGCAAGGTCATGCAAGGTAACGCCATGTCATGCAAGGTAACGCCATGTCATACAAGGTAACGCCATGCCATGCAAGGTCATGCAAGGTAACGCCATGCCATGCAAGGTCGTGCCATGCAACGCCATGCCATGCAAGGTCATGCAAGGTAACGCCATGCCATGCAAAGCCATGCCATGCAAGGTAACGCCATGCCATGCAAGGTAACGCCATGCCATGCAAGGTCATGCCATGGAAGGTCATGCAAGGTCATGCAAGGTAACGCCATGCCATGCAAGGTCATGCCATGGAAGGTCATGCAAGGTCATGCAAGGTAACGCCATGCCATGCAAGGTCATGCCATGTAACGCCATGCCATGCAATGTCATGCAAGGTAACGCCATGCCATGCAAAGCCATGCCATGTAAGGTAACGCCATGCCATGCACGGTCATGCAAAGCCATGTCATCCCATGCAAGGTAATGCCATGTAACGCCACGCCATGCAAGGTAACGCCATGCCATGCAAAGTAAAGCCATGCCATGCAAGGTCATGCCATGCCATGCAAAGTAACGCCATGCCATGCAAGGTAACGCCATGCCATGCAAAGTAACGCCATGCCATGCAAGGTAACGCCATGTCATGCAAGGTAACGCCATGCCATGCAAGGTCATGCCATGTAAGGTCATGCCATGCAAGGTAACGCCATGTCATGCAAGGTCATGACATGCCATGCAAAGTAAAGCCATGCCATGCAAGGTCATGCCATGCCATGCAAGGTCATGACATGCCATGCAAAGTAAAGCCATGCCATGCAAGGTCATGCCATGCCATGCAAGGTAACGCCATGTCATGCAAGGTAACGCCATGCCATGCAAAGTAACGCCATGCCATGCAAGGTAACGCCATGTCATGCAAGGTCATGCAAGGTAACGCCATGCCATGCAAGGTAACGCCATGCCATGCAAGGTCATGGAAGGTAACGCCATGCCATGCAAGGTAACGCCATGTCATGCAAGGTAACGCCATGCCATGCAAGGTCATGCCATGGAAGGTCATGCAAGGTCATGCAAGGTAACGCCATGCCATGCAAGGTCATGCCATGTAACGCCATGCCATGCAATGTCATGCAAGGTAACGCCATGCCATGCAAAGCCATGCCATGTAAGGTAACGCCATGCCATGCACGGTCATGCAAAGCCATGTCATCCCATGCAAGGTAATGCCATGTAACGCCACGCCATGCAAGGTAACGCCATGCCATGCAAAGTAAAGCCATGCCATGCAAGGTCATGCCATGCCATGCAAAGTAACGCCATGCCATGCAAAGTAACGCCATGCCATGCAAGGTAACGCCATGCCATGCAAGGTAACGCCATGCCATGCAAAGTAACGCCATGCCATGCAAGGTAACGCCATGCCATGCAAAGTAACGCCATGCCATGCAAGGTAACGCCATGTCATGCAAGGTAACGCCATGCCATGCAAGGTCATGCCATGTAAGGTCATGCCATGCAAGGTAACGCCATGTCATGCAAGGTCATGACATGCCATGCAAAGTAAAGCCATGCCATGCAAGGTCATGCCATGCCATGCAAGGTCATGACATGCCATGCAAAGTAAAGCCATGCCATGCAAGGTCATGCCATGCCATGCAAGGTAACGCCATGTCATGCAAGGTAACGCCATGCCATGCAAAGTAACGCCATGCCATGCAAGGTAACGCCATGTCATGCAAGGTCATGCAAGGTAACGCCATGCCATGCAAGGTAACGCCATGCCATGCAAGGTCATGGAAGGTAACGCCATGCCATGCAAGGTAACGCCATGTCATGCAAGGTAACGCCATGCCATGCAAGGTCATGGAAGGTAACGCCATGCCATGCAAGGTCATGCCATGGAAGGTCATGCCATGCAAAGTAAAGCCATGCCATGCAAGGTCATGCTATGCCATGCAAAGTAACGCCATGCCATGCAAGGTCATGCAAGGTAACGCCATGCCATGCAAGGTCATGCCATGGAAGGTCATGCAAGGTAACCCCATGCCATGCAAAGCCATGCCATGTAAAGTAACGCCATGCCATGCAAAGCCATGCCATGCAAAGTAACGCCATGCCATGCAAGGTAACGCCATGCCATGCAAGGTCATGCAAAGCCATGTCATCCCATGCAAGGTAATGCCATGTAACGCCATGCCATGCAAGGCCATGCCATGCAATGCCATGCTATGCAATGCCATGCCATGCAACGCCATGGCATGCAAGGTCATGCCATGCAAAGCCATGATATGCAAGGCCATACGATGCAACGCCATGCCATCAAGGCCATGCCATGCAACGCCACGCCATGCCACGCATTGCCACGAAAAAGTCAACCAGGTCAGTTACATCATACTGAACACAGTGCTGGCCCTGTGTTCAGTATTCTGAGTTTAGTTCAGTGTCCAATTCCATGAATTGCTCCCTGCCTATCCAACACCTTAGAAAGGAGATATCCAGCCGTTGCCGTACAGTAATGCGCTGGCATTGTTTCTAAATCCACATTTTCAAGCTATGACCCTAGATCATTCACTAAAATTTTTCATTGGTTTTACTTTTCTTGGATTTCGTTGACGTTTTGGGGACTAATAATGGATATTGTGATAGCTTGTAGTATTATCCTGCTCGAATTGTTCACATCCGTCCATAATTCGGCTAAGACAGCTTGGATCTTATACGATTTATAATTGAAATAGCTGAAGAATTAAGACGCTCACTCAGTTAAAAAGTGATTGTCATAGAAATAAAAAAGCGTGTATAGGCTTGTATTCATCATAGGGAAGGTCACTTTGAACAAAATTTTGTAAAATGTTTTTGAAATCGACTGTTTTCCTTTACACTTTACTTATCATCATGTTTATTAATTCATTTTTGAGAATTTTATAAATAATTTGATGTTTTTGAGTAGGTAATAAACCAAGGAAGTTTTTCTAATAGTTTGTAGGCTTAGTAAATTTATATTATCAATTTTTTTAAGTAAATGCAGTTTTCTATTAGTTTTCGGTTACATGCTATTTTAAAACGAATATTTCCAGTATTAGTATTAACAAATGTTTACTGATATATTGATAACAAATTATAACTAAAATCGTCTAAATCAAACCAGTAGTTTTTTATTTATTGATGTTTTTGTAGTTAGATCGGGATTTATCCAAAACCAAAAGGGTTTATTTTTATGTTGAATATTACTTTCGGACCGGTGACCTCAGCACTAGCTATTATACGCGGTTTTGATCTATTCAATGAATTTTGCCTATGTTATTCTGCATACTCCACTATACATACGTATAGTATGCGTAGATGCATACGCATCAAGAAGATTTAAGATTTGAAGTGTATATAAAATGTAATCAAGTAAAAAGCAACAAACAAACTTACTTCGTATTTATACTACTAGTTGGATTAACGTCAGATGCACAGACTAGGTGTATGGTGGAGACTTCTTTGTATTTTCTTTATGACAAAGTTCTCTTCAAACAACGTGGATAGACGATTTAGGAAGATTTAGATTTTTCTATATACACTGTGAAATCTATTTCGTTTTTGTCCCGCGGCAAAACAGCTTGCCAAACATGAGTACATTTATTTTTCTTTGGCAACCGAGTCTGTAATACGATGTTGTCGACTATACTGCCGTCGAACTTAACTTTGCGGTAGTTTTACAGGAGTACTTTTGATGTGTAAATTATAAATAAAAAATATAAAGACGTAATTTTTTTTTAAATTTAAAAAAACGAACATGTAAATACAGACATGAAACACTAGACATAACTTTGTAGGCACCATTCGCATCGCACGTGCCACCTGACGAGAAAATCCTCTTCGAGAATTACATGGCGAGATGTTTTGATAATGTACTACGAGTTCGTATGCGCTTTCGAAGTTTGCTTTTAGCAATCGTTCGCCAGTTAGATTTTGTTTTAAACATTTTATACAAAAACTATTGTATTACCAAGACAGAACCAATTTACTACGGGACGGAAACGAATTCGATTTTGCGGTGTACAATGGCGATTTGAAAATAAGCAGCTTTAAAATGATTTTTAAATAATGAGGATACATTGTTTATACTATTTATAATAATAAAATACTAACATAAATTATTTATTACTAATAAATGGTAGGTATAAATATGTAAACATATTGTGCATGTATTTCCGTTATAGGTATATTATAACAAAATATGAATGTGACTGTTGTTTGTTACCGAACAATTATTTTGTATTTAAGTATGGTTTAGCTTGCTATTAGAAACCTAATGATAATCATCCAATATAAATCGGAAACTGAAACCTGAATCCTGCTTAGCAATCCTACAAATTATAAACGTTGAACTTCAAAATAATTCTATAAATTTAACCTATAATTGAGACTAAAACCCATTGACAGAGATGGGATAGCGGCGTCCTTTAAAAAACCTGTGCTTTTAATCAAACGCCACTTTGGCGTTTGTCTACAGAGAGAGTAGAAATCAAAATGTATGGGGGTGACACTAACAAGTGTCAAAATTTACGTCAATTCCATATAATTTGGTTTTCTATTCTACAAGTAGACAAGCGCTAAATGGCATTTGGCTACAGCTGCTGGTCTCATAAATCACGATTTATAACTCCTCTACAAAGCGTGGAAATTAAAAATATATTTTCCAGTGAGAGACTATAGACCTCTTTAACTAAAAACTACAGAATCTGTCACTGGAATGGAATCGGTCAGTATTACGGGGTGTTGATGTAAATAGGTTGTTTATGGGAGGACGTGCTATATCGAAGACCGCCACCGCGAGATAGTGGTCACCATTAGGCGAGATAGTGGTCAAACGTCGCCCCATCAAATATAAAAAATAGAAAAGTACTATAATACTCACCTAACTCCCACTTACACTTCTGAATAGATGCAACAGAATATCCCAAACGCTCTTCGTAAAAAAATATTAATTTTAATACATATTTACAATCATCAATAATCACTTCAATCTTTATGTTACAATTGCAAACGTATGTTTAATTTATCAATCACTCAGATTTGACACGATAAAATTTGGCACAGAGGTGCAGTATCGGTTAGCACAGATTCATTTTTATCCCAAATATATTAGCTCCAGTATATATGAACGCAGGCGAAGTATTAATATTTTACAATATATATAATAAAGTTCTAATTAATATATTCTATGTTATATATATTTATAACAATTTAAAGCGCGGTTTGAGTTACTCGTTCATCCTGTCTGGTGTACGAGACTGTACTGAATTTTACCTCAAAACTATAATAATAATAACAATAGCCATGAGTAATTATACAATAAAATTATATAAACGACATATCATTGTTATTGTCTATGTTTTCCTTCTAATGTAGTTTTAACAGGTGATTTTGTGAAATTCTTCATAGGGGTAAAGGGTTTTTTTAAGGGGAGAAATCATCGAATGACTACTACTAGGGGTAAAGGGGTAGACACATAAGTTAACATGACTGCACGGTTGGTGCGGTGGCTGGGCAACCGGCTGCCGTGCAACGTGCCGCGGGTTCGATTACCGCACGGAACAACACTTTGTGTGATCAACAAATTGTTGTTTCGGGTCTGGGTGTGATGTGTATGTGAACTTTTATGTTTGTAAACGCACTCACGACACAGGAGATAATCCTAGTGTGGGGCAACGTTTAAAAAAAAACAGTAACTTTTATTATGTCAAATAGCTTCTGCTTGCTTCTTTGCCATGTTCCGTTCCTGTGGGATAAGAAGTAGTCTATCTGTTATTCCAAACCATAACCATCCCTGATCCAAATTCCATCCTAATGCCTTCAGCCATTTTGATGTTAAAGAATAACAAACAAACAAACATATTTTTGCATTTATAATATCGCACACCTAGATAAAGAGTAGCACAAATCGAAATAATCCAAAATCGTGTTATTACTAGTATACGAATCTACGTTGTAAACTGCATAAACTCCAAAGACACCTGTACAAAAATCTCTATTAGTAAAACTTTGATGGCCCCTTAAGTTAGTTTTAGTGAATTGCCCGCGCACCCCCTCCCGCCAACAACAGTAACACATCACCAGTTGCGACATGTCGGCCGACGGGATAGGTGCTGTCAATACGCACAAAGACAGGATTATTTCGAGTTGGTTTAGTATTCGTGATTAACTACGCTCACATTTCGTAAATTATTTTTAGTTAATCTGGTCTTGAATTAAACTCGTGCCATTTTTTTTGGAGTTCTTCTGATTATTTCTACTTACCCGAGTATTAACCTAACAATGTAAGTATTTTTATATTATTAATTGAAAATAGTGTATTGTTGTTGAAATAATTTTACAATATTTGAGTTGGTTGTGTATTGCTGGTTAAATTTAAAATCACTCTTATTCTTAACAGAACAAAGCTAACGTTTATTTTGATTCATAAATATTTCGTGTTGATGTTGTATTTTTTAAAGAAAAGTAGCAAAATAAATTTATATGACGTATACTTCTGTTTACAGCATTTTTTTGGAGTTAGTATAGTATTCGTGATTTAAATCAAATTGTTGTTTTTTTTGTACAGATGATGAAAGGTCGTGGTCTTCTATTACTACAAAAAGCGATGGTGGCTAATTTACATGAACCTGAGAACAGTGGCATGGAGTTGGAGCCTGATCAGAACTTAACAACGCCTTCAACGAGCACCAAAGGGATGAACGAAATCTCAAAAACTGTGGAGTTAGAAAAAAGTCCATTACCGATACAATTACCGTCGACTTACCCCCAGGTGAGACCATCGTACTATATTTCACCGGTTAACAGCGATGGTAGCGATTTCGATGACTCGGATGCGGATCCGCATTTCAATTTACCTGCCAAAGAGGGAACGCGCCGCCAAACTGTCACCAATTCAAGAAAAACATCTCGATCCTCTAGTTCTATTTCAAGTTCTAGTTCAAGTTTTAGCTCATCTTCGGATAGCTCCAGCAGCTCTTCAAGCAGTAACTCAGAAATAGGAAATAATTCTGTGCCATCTGCCGAGCTGAATACTGCCAATGTTTCACACAACAATGTTGAAGCTTCCACCTCTCAACCAAATGCTAATCAACTTGCTGCAACTAGTGACCTTCGAAGATGCAGGAAAAGACTACGAAATCCTACAGCTTGGGCCTTAAATGTTAAGAAAGCTCTGCGAAATACTGGAAAGGCTTATGTAAGTTCCACCAAAAAGAGAGTCCTTGAAAGAGCGGTCAAACCTCCGTGTACCGACAAATGAAACAAATTAAATGGCACGACATCAAACAACTCCGCGTTGAAAAGCATCAGCAGATGACATTCTTTTATAAAACGTCTTATGAAGAGACGGTTTTTAAGAAAGCGTTTGTAAGAAATCACAGACGAGCTCAAGATCACCAATTCTCTCCTAGTTTGAAACCAGCGTATTTGCAAAAAATACCGTTAGGTGCGAATAAAAAGCGCGATATTATGGAATTGATTAATAAGAAAATTATCCCCCAGATTTACGTAGATTCTTATTTCAAAAATGCATTAGCTTTAGAATAATTATTCAGTAGGTATGAGTACAGTAATTCTTCTTTAATTCTAACTTCTTCTCACGTATTTTGATATTGATGGTTAAAAAGAAAGTACCTAATAATTATATAATTATAATGTTCCTAATTAAAGTCTGATTAAAATAAGGTAGTTTTAAGTAAGTCCTTTGGTGATTAATTCACTATTTACTTTTTGATCTCGATATTGATGATTATATTATGACATGTAAGTTCAAAAACAAAGTCTGATTATAGTTAAGTGTTTCAGATATCTTTTTTTATAGTATTTTTTGGCAGTACATGCCTAATAAGTAAGTATGTGTAAGTTTTAAATGAATGAAAGAGTGTATAATTCCGTTTGTTGTACTGATTTACGAATAATACTAGTTGAAAAGTAATAAGTGTTCATGTTTTGCTAAAGAAGAGCTGTGTTTTATTTTATAAAAATATTTTTATAAGAAATGTTACCTTTGTTGAATATTTTGTTTAGGTTTATCCTATAGATTTTTTGTACGCTACATAAAAATAAATAACGTTAATTTTTGAAAGACATAATTTTGTTTTATTTTTTATTTTATACTGAAAAAAAAACACATAATTTAGTTATGTTTGATGGATATTAGATCTAAATTAAACAGATTAAAAGTGCACTAATTCAAAAATATTCAGTAATATCAACATATTTGGAGTTGGTAAAATTATTACGCAATGATTTTGTCATGATTACTAACTTAACACAAAATATTAAAATTGACAAGAGATGCTCCTACTTAATGACAAACTATTATTCAAATAAATATCTTAATCAAATTATATACAAGAATGTATAAGATTTTTTTAAATATATCAAATACAAATAAAGTAAAACGTTTTTTTCCATTCCTGAAAAAATGTATATTTTGAGTTGTGCTACTCTTTATCTAGGGGTGCGATATTAGTCAAATAGCCTGTGACACAAGATTCTTGGAACATTGGTATTCTCTACATAAGAAAAGGATTTCAAGTGTGGGAGAGCCATGCTTCGGTACGGCCGGCTAGACCGGAGTGATACCACGGCCTCACAGAAAACAGACGTGAACCAACGCTTGTGTTGTATTTCGTCGTGTGAGTGAGGTTACCGGATGCCCAATTCCACCCCCCTTAACCGAATCTCCCCAATCCCTGAATTCCCTACAATCCTCAAATTCATAATCCCCAAAAGGCCAGTATCGGACTTATAACGCCTCTGGTGTTCCAGGTGTCCATAGCGCGGATTGCTTACCATCAGGTAATAAAAAAAGGAGAGTGCAATAATCTCCACATTAAGCATGCAGGTTGCAGATTGTAGTATATTAGAAGGTGCATGTTTATCAGAGAGGACTGCGGTCCAGCCTCAGTAATATTAGATTTACCTCCGTAAGAATACTTGCACTCCCGAGGGCGACGTAAGCTATAAAGGAAGTAGTCAAATAAAGAAAACCATTCCCAAATAGCTCTGTAATTAACATAATTAGATACAGGAAAACAAAAAAATTCGGATGCAACAGCCTCTAATTTCCTTTATAGATTTACAACTCTATTTCAAGAGCAATAAGGTAAAAAATCTGTTAAAGAAAGCCAGTTTAATAGAGTAGCTTTCTGTGCTTCCATGATTAACATTAAACATTGTCATTTAGTTAGTCTGTTAATTGTTATTTATTTTAATGAATCAGAAGTCAGGAGACTTCCTTCCCTAATTTGTTTGAAATTAAAAATTATGAACCTTAATCTAAGTACTGAAGTTTCAATCTAAATTAGAGGAAACATCTTATCTAAGTAATGATTGTATTATACTAATCTCTATAATTTAATTTTGTGTGTCCGATATAGGGGATTGGTTTCAAGTCCTCTATAGATGCACAACTTGTATTTTTAAGAATATAGTTCAGTTACATTTATTTGCAGTCTTAAAATAATGTTTATACTGCCTAAATATGTGAAAAGAAAGGGAAAAAAAAGCGTGGCCGTCCTCGGCAAACCTGGCGTCGCACCGTACTGGCAGAAGCGACGAGCATCGGTATGACGTGGATTTAGGTGAAGCGTGAAGCTCAAAACAGATCGCGATGGAGAACTTCAGTGGACGCTCTCTGCCCCATCTAGGGGACACAGGATATTAAGTCAAGTCAAGTCAAATATGTGAAAACTAGCTTCTGCCCGCGACTTCGTACTCGCAATCCCGTTTATTCCCGTTCCCGTTAGTGATTTTCGGTAAAAAGTAATAAAATAATAATATTGGCTAGAAAGTATCCTATGTCCGTCTCCTGGTTCTAAGCTACCTTCCTACCAATTTTCAGCCATCCGTTCTTGAGTTATAAGTGGTGTAACTAACACGACTTTCTTTTATAATATAGATTTATCAAAGATCTGTAGAAACAAAGGTTTAAGAATCGCGCGATGGTAAACATTCTAAGCCTGTAATAGAGAGATCACAAATGTGTCGCCGATCATATAAAAAACTGTTTTGTTATTTTGGATTCAAGTTTTAAAATCTGCCTCATTGGCCGAGTGGTCGCAAGTGCGACTGCCGGGCGAGGGGTTTTGGATTCAATTCCCGGTTCGGGAACGATTACTGGGTTTAAAAAAAAATCTCAGTTGTAGCACGGAGTCTGGAATTGTGCCCGGTATATGGCAATAGGCTCACCCCCTATTACATGGGACTCATAACATAAATAGTGAAAAGTGGGTGTTACATTGCACAGTGGCACTAAGTGCCGCAACCTCTGCCTACCCCTTCGAGGATAAAAAGGCGTGTTGTTATGTTATATTTTAAAATCTTTTTTTTCCAAATATTATCTTTCCTTACATTACCTTTGTGCATTCATATTCCAGCCAGCCATTAAGTTCCTCTAATCATCTGAAAGCATAGATAATAAACAACGTACTTTTCACAAAAAAAACCAAGATACATTTAGTAGCGAATCTGTACTCGAGGTGAACGGTCGTGCGGCAATTTTTTTGGCGGGCTAATCACGTTTGTCGGAACTTTTTACAGTGATGTGATTCAGTGGATTTAGTTTAAAAAAAATGATGTTTATGTAGTGTACCAGTGTACATTGAAGTTAGGATTGTTAAAAAGGTGAGTTAGCACGTTTATTATGGATTTTTCAGTGTGTTCGAAGGCTTATCGGATTTGTTATTGGTGAAATAACGTGTGTTGGCGTTAGATAAGAACTACCTTTTAGCACGTTGGAGATTTTATATGAGTTTTTCGAACGAGAATTTGGATGCTTCCTTTCGGAAAATTAAGGCGAACCTATTAATCGTCTACTTATTGTGTCGTGAAAATCAAATTTCAAATTCACTGCTTTATTTACTTAGTCGCGCATCTTGTCTATTTTCTGAACAAATTATACTTAGCAATTCTCTAAAGGTTTTCACATAATTTCGTAAAAACTTCAGTTTCTTTGCACCAAAATAGGTCTCAGGGTTCGAACCAAGTTATCTACGTAACAAAAACCTATTCTTAAGTAAAGTTACACTTCTCAAGGGCTTTGGTACACACGGCTACACATCGAGCTTTACATAACAAATTCAAATTCAAATTCAAAGTCTTTATTGCTTCATGTGTGGGTACCAAGGTGTTATACATAATACATATGATTTTGGTTAAGCAGTATCAACATGACCCTGTAAGGGCGCTGCAATTTATATTAAATAATAAAAAACACTATATTATTCAAAGATTGTACATAACATATTATTAAAATTTTACCACGATTGCTTCAATTGATTTTCGTTTACATTTTACCTACATACACATTATACATATCTACCAACTCTTTATTTGCACAATTTTATTTATTTATTATCATTACCAGCAATTTCCTTATTATTGCTATTATTCTATTTTTTTTAGTTTTGTTGTTTTATTCTCAAAAAACTCTGCAAACTATAATAAACATTTATCGATGAGATATTCATTAAGTTTTTTTTGAAAGTAGTATATTTTGTTTCTTTTTTTATATTACTTGGTATTTGTTGTAAATTTTTATTGACATGCAATAGGGGCCGTATGAAATATAGATAAGTTGGAGGTAGGAAGCGATAATTTATTTCTATTTCTTAGTTGACGGTCTTGCGAATAGTGGTCACGGTTACGACTAAAAGATTAATATTTTTGTAAAAATAGGTCAAATCCAATATGTACAGGGAAGTCAAAGTAAGGACACGGAGTGTTTTAAAGTGTGGTCTACAGCTATGTGTTCCCCCAACATTGGCCAGAATGCGAATGCATTTCTTTTGGAGTTTAAATATGTCGTCTGCGTCAGTACTATTACCCCATAGAGCAATGCCATAGCGCATCCATGAGTGCGCATATGCATAATATGCAGTGAGGGCGGTTTTTTTGTCCGTTGATGTTTTCAGATGGTAAAGAGCGTAAGTGAATTTTGACAGTTTGCTGCTTATGATCTGGGCGTGTGATTTCCAGTTAAGGTGACTGTCAATATTTAATCCCAAAAGTTTAAAGTTGTTAGTACTTTCAATTTTCTCATTATTAAATGCAAAATCAATAGATAGGTTTCGTTTTTGGTAGGGTTTAAACTGCATGAGTTTTGTTTTTTTGAAATTGACTTGCAAATTATGATCATTCAGCCAACTAGTTATATTTACAAATAAAGAATTTAATGTATTGTTTAGATTTTGTTCATTTTCACAAGGAAGTACAATTGATATGTCATCTGCAAAAAGGGTACTTGTAGCATTT